AGCAATAAGTCAAAATTAAGAACTCAAGAGCCAATATAGCCAATATCAAGATTCAAGATCCGGAATCAAAATCCGATATTAAAGAATCATTCCCAAATAATTAAGGTATGTTCCGCATTATTAATTTTCTTGATGATTTGACATGGAGGATCTTGGCAATAAAATAATAGGGTTTCTAGTTTTATAAAGTTTCAACACAACACTCTTGAAGATGAAAGTCCACGTTCATGGAAAGGTTTCTGAGACGACAAATGTGTATAGAAAGAAGAAGATTGCCGAGCAAAAGGCAGCCAAATTAGCCTTTACTACTTTGCGAGAAGGTGATAATGACAAAGAATATGAGATAATGAAACTTGCGACCCTCAAAATAGGGGACTAGGAAAAATCAAAGGCAGCTTCGATTGGAGTTGTCAAGCTCCACAAAAAGATGTTTAGACCTCATGGTTGCATGACTCACATCTCTGCCAAGTTCTTATATTGTAGCTCTCAATCTAGTGTTGTCAATCCTTGGTCCAATATTGTTCGCTAAAAACGGTCAAATAATAAACTGGACTATTGTGTCCGAATTATCGATCCCACGAGAAGTGCTTTCTTTTAATTAAACTATAGTTAATTCAATTCTAATGATTAAATAGACACAATTGCATTTCGATTTTGAAAGCGAAAGAAAAATAGTCTGAAGTTCAATTAAAATAATAATTATAAAAGTTGTTGAAATTTTGGATTATGAAAGAATTGGGATTCATGATTTCATTCAACTGTCATCTAATTAATTTCGCAATAAGTCAAAAAAAAATAATTAATTAGTTACCATATTAGACCCGATTTTCCTATTTTAATCAATTACCTCTCTCAAGTGAAATTAGTTGTAACTGCTTTATTTAACCTACTATATCTTATGTCGATTAAAATACAACCAACCACATTAAAAATTTATAAAAATAATTTAATGGGTCACCTAGAGTTAATAATATATCTCTATCTCCTACAAGAACGTAGAACATTTACTATTTTGATTCTAATATACACAACAATTTCTCAATAATTGCTCAAATCACTCAAAACAATCATCCACTGCCCACATAAATGATAGGCATTAAAACACAATAGTAAATGCACAAGAATATAAGTAATTTCAACATTAAATAGAAAGTATTAAAATTAATAAAACTAGGTCAAGCTATAGCATAAATTCCAACATTCAAATATTTAGCTCATGTTATATAAATGATAAAAAGGAAAAGAAATAAAAATAGAGAAATACATTACAAGTTCAGAGAAAATAATGGATGAAAATATAAGACTAAAGATAAAACCCATCTTCTGGTTGGATTCTTGAAGGTTGCAATGGCTTGTTCTTGATTTCTCCCAAAATTTCTCAACTTGGCTTATTTTTCTCTTCATTTCTTACCTCGTTTTCCCTCTATTTGATATATTAAATGAACAATAAATGAATGGGCATTCAATATGAGAAATAGGGCATTTAAATGCCCTAAAAAGAACCATAGAAGATGCCTAAAATGACCTAAAGTTGCCTCGAAATTACAAAACGAGGCAAAAATTTTATGCCCCCATATATCGGCGCGCACCCATTTTTCGGCCGAACGCGCGCCACACAGTCAATGGGCATAGTGTCCATTGGCTAAATGCAACCCTCGCACACATGGATCTTTTTGCAGCTCAGGTCTTTCAATAATTGCTTGTCAAGCCTTCAAGTTTGATCTTTTGCATTTTGCTCTTCGAATTTTGACTAGTAGTACAATATTGCCTTGATACATTGCATCCAATGTCCTTCAACTTCCAACACTTGTGCACTTTGGCCCCTCAATTCATGTATTTGTACACTTTTGGTCATTTTTCTCTTCTTTTTGCCTTGTTCTCTTTCAATTGGGGATTTTGACATACGAAAGCTAGAATCACACGCGTGTATTCGCTCGATTAAACAATACAAACTTATTTAGACCTCTGATAAGTGTGTGAAAATACACTTATCAAATATCATTGACCTGTCGTCACAACAATCACATGCATAGTCGGGAGTATCTCCATTACAGAAGGAGCTAACTCCTTCATCTTAGGCTTGAGGACGAAAGGGACCTTATCGAGAGTAGGCTCACTCTGAGACCTTTTGTTGATACCCTTGTTATAAAAAAAAAATCTTTCCCCTTAGCCGCAACAGTAGATGCCAAACTTACCTTGTCTACCTCATGTTAAGCTACCGACTCTAAGTCCCTGAGTTGCAAATTCTTAGATTGAACCAACATCACCTAAGGGTAGCCTGGACTACTTTCATCTTTTTCTTCGAGTCGACTACTGTACAGGTTTAGTGCAGGGGCTATTGTTGAAAAGGCGAGGACTGGGAGCAGAGTTAGAAAGGAGATGAGTAAGGATAGCATGTTGCCTTTGCCAAATCGAGCTAGCCTGTTGATAAGGTAGCGCAACTTAACGTTTATATCAGCGAACATCATTAATCTTATCCAAATTCGAGAAGTTAGAACTCTAGTTAACTTATGTTGGTCGAAGAGTTGAAGTAGCTAACTCGTACATTGGCTTGACATTAAGCCCCTATTTGGGCTTCATTATTTCAGATTATAATGAGAGGAATAATAATTTTTTAGAGAATGTACGGTTAAAAAAGAAAGAAAACTTTTAGATTTTTTTGTAATACTATTTTATTGGAAAATGTGTAGTTGATAAGAAGAAATATAAAAATGTATTTTTTCTTTTGGGGCCAAACAGAGGCTAAGTTATATCTAACAAAGTATTTTTCAGTCGATGATGCAGCGAATGACAAGTGGTTATCTTGCACTTGAAAGAGATGGTCGATGGCCTTTGCCTGATCCTCGGGCAGAATCAGTTTCTTGCAAGTCCTTGTATAGAGAGTGTTGTTTAGAAAATGCAAATATATTTGCTTATAACTACTGAAAAGTAAACACTTACGCAAGGGGCAACATCCCTAAAGGTGCTTATTTTAGGCCCGAGTCGTTGATGTCGAACTCCCAATCGCCCGGACATAGAAGGAGAAGGACTTTCAGCCCTTAACTGAGTGTTGGAAGCTACTCAACAGTGGCATCTCTCCTTAACTGGATTTCAAGGAGGACTTTCAGCCCTTAACTGAGTGTTGGAAGCTAAGGTAATAAGTAATACCAGCTTTAGAGGTCATGCCCCGTTGACGTCGAAGAGTGTAGAAGGCCTTGAATACCCTCAAGGGGATGTCCTCCTCATTCCATGCTATCTTCCAGCTTATGAAGGGCATCCATTTGGATGAAGTTAGGTTGGCTCGATCCCCAAGTTATTGAACACCTAGTGGATGAATGGAAGCATTTCTTTGTAAATATCATCATAAAGGATAGAGATATATAGATATGGTCTATGTGATTGTTATATGATATTTAGTTATTCTAATTTTGTATTCAACTCTACACAAGAGATTGTCGAATAAGTTAGGGACAACGATCGTCTTAATAGGCGAATATTGTCAATCATATGGTTATGTATATAAAGTGGAAAGTTGGTAAAGTCGCGCATTTTTTAATTATTCAAATTTTTAAGTTTGCTTACTTACAATTTTACTTGCTTTTTAGTTAAAACTGAAAAATCAAACCGTTGGTGTTTTTAGTTCCTTTCAATAAGAGTTTAGAATAAGTAAACTCTTATAAATACATAATTATTATGGGATCTAAACAAGACTCAAATTCATTATTATGACTTGTCTTCGAAACCGTGCACTTGCAGTTTAAGCGAACAAGGTTTCGGCCGATTGTAGAGGGAGGGTTGTTATTTATATGACTTTTACTTCATTAAAGTGCTAAGATTTTAGATTTCATTGATTGTATCGCCCTTTCAAACCAAGAGATTTCAAGGAGAAAAAGAAAAACAAAAATGATAAGTAACATATCTTATAGGAGATGAGAGAAAAATCAAGTTGCTATAGTTGATGAGGATGACATACGCATAGGAGAGCATGATTCCACATGTTGCTCAAAGTCAATTGTGTATAACCGATTCAGCATTTGGGCAACCCATCTTTCAATTGAGGAGAATTCAATCGAGGATAGGGGACATGGTTCCTACCTTAAATTCGTCGACTTTTATTTTTATGTTCTTTCAATTTAAATTGTACATTTTTATAAAATCTGTAATTATCCTGTTTGATGCACGTTATTAATTGGAAAATGCATTTTAAATAGTGATTTGATGAAAAATATGTGGGTAAAGCAATATTATTTTATTGAATAATGTGTGGTTGAAAATGAATTTTGAAAAAATGAATTTTTGTAAGAATGTGGATCAAACTGGGCATAAAAAGTAAATTTTTTTAGATATACTATAAAATTATTTTATAAAAATAATATGTAATTAAAAATAAATGGAAACGTGTTAAATAAGTAAACTAGACAAAAGTAGTACTCCATCCGTTCCAATTATATAGGCTAAGTTTCATTTTTCTCTTGTCCCAAAGATATATGAATGTTTCCTAATATAGAATATTTTGTTGTATTTTTTTACCAATATACTCCAAATAAATTTCCCCACTTAATATGTCAATTTCTTGAAATCATTCAAATACGCACATTTCTCACTTCTTGAAAATATGGAACAGCTCTCATTTCTTCTTCTTCAAATTCTTTATTAGTTCCAATAAGAATTTAGTTTTACATATTGAAAATTAAATATAGATACACCAGAAAAGATTTTGACAAAAATTAATTTTTTAAAGATATTAAAAAAAATTTCTTACTTCGTGTGAAAAATGAAACAAGTATGAGGATGGATTGAGTAATATTTTAACCACCCCGTCCTTAGGTCAGAGCACTCGAGAAAGGTCTAAAGCTATTTTATGACAAAAAAGAAAGTAGAGAAGTTCTTCCATTCTATAAATATCACTTTCCTCTTCTTCGCTCGACTTTTTCCCTCCCAACGAGCACTGCAAATCCACGGCGGGTTTCTGAATTCTAGTTAAATCGCTACGTCAACCCAATATTTGACAGACTCGAAAGATGTCCCATCGATCCTTCTCCATACTAAAACGAGTCATCACCCATCACCCGAATTCCTCTCATCTCCTCTCCTCCCAAAGATCAGTAACATACATGCCCCGTCCAGGAGACGGTGCGCCCCGACACGTTACCCTTATTCCAGGCGACGGTATCGGACCCCTTGTGACGAAAGCCGTCGAACAGGTGATGGAGGCCATGCACGCGCCGGTCCATTTCGAGAAGTATGAGGTGCACGGCGATATGAAGCAAGTTCCCCAGGAAGTTTTGGACTCCATCAGGAAGAACAAGGTGTGCTTGAAAGGCGGCCTCAGGACCCCTGTAGGCGGTGGCGTTAGCTCTCTCAATGTGCAGCTCAGGAAAGAGCTCGATCTTTACGCATCCCTTGTGAATTGCTTTAATCTACCAGGGCTACCCACGCGCCATGAGAATGTTGATATAGTAGTTATTCGGGAGAATACTGAAGGGGAATACTCGGGACTAGAGCATGAGGTGGTTCCCGGTGTTGTCGAAAGCCTCAAAGTAATAATCTACTTTTCTATTGTTTGTGAGTTCTAAGGGTTTTGTGTGATTCGGGTTGATTTCCTTATCTGGTTACTTCCGTGAAATAGAAAAATTACTTGAATTGATGATGCCAATTATGAATGCAAAGCATGGTTTTACATATCAGCTCCAAAATGAAGTTGATAGATGGATTTTAGAGGATTGTATGATATGTCAAATAAACCAAAAAGCAATAAGTTTGATTGGAAAGATGTTGATGTCTGTTGTGAACTTGTGATAGTTAGTTGTCATGAGAATTTTATTTTCTTGGTAGGAACTTGGCTGTTATTGGATTTTATTACATAATGGAATAATCAGAAATGGCCATAACTAAAATAGAAGCTTTTGGCATGACTTTTTGCTCAACGTTTATGATATAGTCTCTTTTTCTTAACTTGTTCTTAATTAAGGTGAGGGCATATATGCTCTACTGTGCATTGGCTTAGAAGGTCATCTTTTTATGTTGCACCTCTGTAGGTGATAACAAAGTTTTGTTCTGAGCGCATTGCAAAATATGCTTTTGAGTATGCTTATTTAAACGGCAGAAAGAAGGTGACGGCTGTGCACAAAGCCAATATCATGAAGCTCGCCGATGGTTTATTCCTTGAATCTTGTCGAGAGGTTGCCAAAAAATATCGTGGGATCAAGTACAATGAGATTATTGTGGATAACTGCTGCATGCAACTGGTTTCCAAGCCTGAGCAATTTGATGTCATGGTATGTGACTTGGATCTCTCTCTGTTTTTGCTGGTCCTTTTTTTCGCTCTTAATATATGATAGTGGTGTAGGATGCAACGAGCAAAAACAATATTGATGATTTTTAGTCATATCCTTCTGATGAATTTTTAGTATATTTACCAACATATGAGGCCCTTCATTGCTC